TTTGTCAAATGTTTTTACTGTTTCCAGCTCATGGTTGGTTTCCTGAATAAAAGCACACACAGAAGGAGGAAAGTGATGAAAAGGCAGTTATCATGTGACCTCCTATAAAGGCTGTAGATTATGCCTCAGTGTTTTGTATAAACGTGTCTGTCCTGTAGGACGAGCGCTCCATATAGTAGATCTGTTTGGGGTTTTGTTGCTGTTGGACATGAGATGATGACAACTTCATCTAAAAAACACAGTAGTGGTGAAAATGTGGTCATTTTGAATGTGATGGGACATTTTGAACTCAAAATTAATACAACAACATTTTCTGTTCAGAGTTTTGCACATGGTGGGAAAACCGAGACACAGCAACGGCAAAGTTTACTTCATATACAGCAAACGTTCACTTTGCTATGACGTCATCTACTTTGTACGACAAACGTGAGCAGGAAGCATCAGTTAAATAGTAATAATTTGTCCCTAGGTGCCCTTACTTTCTATGTAGTATTTGTTTTTGATCGTTCATACGAGGAAATACTCTTTAACTTTAAAAAATGCAGTTATTGAGAGTTGATATAATTTAGAATCATTAGACATTTAAGTGATATCACATGGGGGGGTGTACGTCACAGTCCACATTAAACTCCAGGTGGATTTAAAATCTGCCGAGACCAAATCAAAGTCCTTCTGATATCATAGTGAGACTGTAATCCTGCCCGGGTACATTTTAAATCTGCCTGGGCTGAATTAAAACTTTGATTTGGTCTAGACCAAGTTGCAGGTTTAAAATCTGACCACACCAAATTAAAAATCTGAATTAAATCAGAATCATAAGCTGGATTTCTCCTCGACCAAATCAAAGTCATTCATATGTATGTAGTCTCTGCAGCAGTCTTGTGTGGCTGTTAAACATATCAACAGATGCGTCACACCTCTTCATGTGTGTTTGAATGAAAACGCTGGTGTGACCCTTTGATGGTTTCAGCATTAAAGAATGTGAGGTTCACACCACGGTGACGTGTGGAGGTTATATCAGATTAACATCCTGCGACGTGTCACAGCTCACTATATGTTTGTCACAGTCGAAATTAAAATGTACCCAGGCAGGATTACAACCTCATTATGATATTAGAAGGATTTTAATTTGGACTGTGACACACACACACACACATTATATATATGTGTATATATATATATATATATATATAATGTGTGGACGAGTTAAAGCTTGAAGATATGTGGATCCTGTGCAGCCATTCTGAGGCAGAATGAAACAGCTCAAATCAGATCCTCAGACAACACATTTAATAATTACAGAATACATTCGTTAACGCTGGCTCTGCCTGTACACACTACATCACGCCTCTGTCTGTATTATGTGTGAGCAGACGTCCTGCTGGCCACAATCCAGGAAGCGTGGAGGTCAGTCAGCACTCACGGAGACCGAAGCCATCAGGGTGACTCTGTAAACGTCCGTCTCGTCGCCCTTTACAGTGAGAGGCACACACAGCTGCACCACCTCGTAGGGCTGGAACACACACACACACACACACACACACACACACACACACACGTCCATCAGCCAGCGCAGCGACAAACGGCTGAAGTACGAGGGAACTACTAAAATGTGATTGGATTGATGTTAAAGCTGCTGATTATCTTATGCCAGCACTTATAACCTTCTACTGTCTGATCACCAAACATTAACAGGCACCAGTGTTTCCACCAGAAGGTTTGAACTGATGTGGTAAAAAGAAACAAGATGAACGAGACGTCGACAGGATGCTAAAACACTGAAGTAACAACGACGTTTGCTGGCAGTTCTGTAGTTTGTTTTCTGTGCCTCAGACTTTACATACTTCTTATCAATCAGTGAAATCATTTTACCTAAAGATCCTAATTATAAGGAGCCTTTTGCTTTAATTATTTTACAATATGGTTGTGATACGGCTGCTTCAAAGGTTAACAGAAAAGTAGGAGATATTTGTTGTAGAGTTCGTTGAAAAGCTACAACAGACGGACAGCCTGTGTTCTCTCTTCTGTAAAAAGATGTTTAGTCAATAGCACACCAGCAGTAAAACCATCTCCTCCTCACCTGATATCCAGTGGGGGGCGTCCATGTGATGGTGATGGTGCGTTTGTGGCCTGCTACCACGCTGCCTTTGCAGGGCTTCACGCTGAAGCCGTGCTGCTGCAGGGACGTCGTGTTGTCCCAGCAAAACTCACCGCTCTGGGACACAAAGGATGACGTGTTCAAAGAGGCTTTACTTCACCTTCTTTGCATGATGCAGCAGTGAACTGTTCATCTGAGCAGATGTGTGACTGTCAGTGTCTGGTGCCGTCCCAGTACCTTCTTACTGGCCTGACTGGAGTGGATGCAGCCCACCTGCAGCTCCCTGACTGCAGGTGTGATGGTGCCTGTGCTGTAGGCGGCCCGCAGGGTCACCAGCAAAGGAACGCCGGACTTCTCCACCACCTCTGACTCTGCAAAGTAGAGCAGAGGTTTGCAGGTTTTAGCTCTTTTACAACAGAACATTCATCTTTCCTGCTTTTTACTGGAACTTGTGGAAGCAGTTCGTTTACACCCCAGCAGGGCTTTTTAGAAAACAATGCTGGAGTTTTAAATGCATATTGCCCAGACTGGAAGCAGGGTTCTAGGGATGGAGTGTGTCAGTCAGTGCAACACTGTGGTTCTGATGGAAATCTCTCAACGACTGAATGAGTTCACACATTATGTTACAGACGTCCATGTTCTCTGTAGGATGACGTAAAATAAACCTGATGGTTTCCATAAAGCAGCATCAACAGATCGTTTTTTTCATTTGTCCAATACCTCAAATTAAACACCTGGAAAACTAATTACTACTGATCAGTTTTAGCATTTAGCTAAACGCACCACTGTAAGCGAGCTCAGCTTCACAGACAAGCTGGTCGGGCAAATGTCTTGTTTGTTACATTCTAGGTATCCATTGACTTCTATTCAACTATTGCACTAATTAGATCCTAAAACTATAATCATGTAAACATTTTTGCAGATTGTTTCTGAGTGCTTGCTGCACATTTCTACATTATTGTATTGCAGAGGTGATAGTTCAGCTCCCATATAATCCTGCTGAGACCACACTGGACGTCTGCATGCTGAGACATTTTTGGAACCTTTGGCTCTTATGGACACACATTTGAAGCTGCACACAAACTCCTGCAGACGTGGACACACGGCTTTACACAGACCTGTGCACCCTTGGTCATGTAGAAACTATGAATTGGAATTAATTTCAATATCAATTAATGTAAATATGACATTAATATTTGAGTTTCAAGAGTCTGTTAATAGATTTTCATCCATCCATCATCTCTACACCTTAATCCTCACCAGGGTCATGGGGGGCGGAGTCTATCCCAGCTGACTCAGGGTGAAGGCAGGTTCACCTGGACAGGTAACCAGTCTATCACAGGGCTACACTTAGAGACAGACAACCAAGCACACTCACATTCACACCTACGGACAATTTACAATCACCAATTAACCTCAGCATGTTTCTGGACTGTGGGAGGAAGCCGGAGAACCCGGAGAGAACCCACGCTGCACGGGGAGAACATGGAGACTCCACGCAGAAAGATCCCGGGTGTCCTCACCGGGACGCCAACCGGCGACCTTCTAGCTGTGAGGTGACCGTGCTAAACACTAATCCACCTTGCAGCTCCATAGATTTTCATATCAAATACAAATAAATGAAAGCTGCCATGACAGAAAGGGGAAAACATAGAATGTGCAGCGTACATTTTACAACTGTAATCATGAACACGCGTGATCCTTTGTAACTATGAACATCTGAACAGCGTGTGAATGGGAGGCCTTTACACTGAACACCTCTTTACTCACTTCTGCTTGTGTAACACAATCAAAGCAGAGCTTCAGGTCCCATCCGATGGCTGACGGTGCTTTAATGCAGCAGCGCCTCTTCAATAGAGAACATTTACTATAACCTTGTTTAGGAGGTGTGCCTATTTTCACACACACACGTTTTGTGGTGAATGCTGATCTGACTGCTAGCACACGGGCTGTCAGCATGCTACGATTAGCATAAATGCTGCCCTTATTCACATAAACCGTAGAATGTGTCTGGAAGGTTTTACTCATCTTTACAGTCCTGATCAAAGGACTTCCTGTCTTGCTGGAGTGCTCAGTATGCTGGAGAATGTGCTCCAACTTGATTCCATGGATAATTTATACAGATAAACACTGTAGAGTCGGTCTGTTCCACAGCGACCATGCATCTCCAGGGTTCTCCTCGCTCACAACGGGCTTTTGGGGGGCGATTACACATGACAGTAAGCCTGACCGGTTACCGTTTTATGGACCAACCTCTGTGTTTTCCTGTTTTTTGGACCATTGCATGATGTCCAACATGCTTCAGGAAATAACACATGGTTTATACATGGCTTCCATCACACAGGAAGAAAGTGGTAACCCTGATGAGGAGATGAAGACTTTGGTACCTGTGAGCGGAGGCTGATCGGTTATCAGCGAAGGGAGGAGGGACTCGACAGGCGCCGTCAGCAGGTCTCCTCCACATACATACATGTCATGTGAAGAGGCTGCACCCTTCAGATCCAGCACACACACTGTAGTCTGGGAGGCAGAGATGACGTAGGGTTAATGCAGCAGTGAGACGAGGACGTACAGCGAGGAGCAAGTACATGTGAATAACATGAATGCACTGGGGGCAGCAGTTTGCAGGGACCACACGTTTACAGCCAGTGTTCACAGGCAAGGACATGAGTGTGTGTGTGTGTGTGTGTGTGTGTGTGTGTGTGTGTGTGTGTGCCATTGAGCCGACCTTATTCAGGAGCTCTACAGTGAGTCTATCAGAATAGTTGACAGACGGGTGGTCCGGCTGGAAGGTGACAACAACGTCCTGGCTCTGTCCCGGACCAATGCTGCCCTCTACTGGCGCCACACTGAACACACTCAGCCCGCCGTGGTTCTGGCTGCCTGGACAGGAGACACGGTACAGAACCACTGCTGTCACAGCTACAGTTACACCTGCTGCTGCTACTGCCGTTCGAAATAATAAAAAATCCACCTCCAGTTTGTTTTTGTGAGCTTAGAATAAAAAGGGATCTCGTCTTGACTTTGTCTGTTGTGACCGCCTCACTCAGACGGCTGTTATTTATGTACACTCTTCTCATCTGAACATTCTCTGGTATATACAACTGTGTCTGAGTAAAATTGCTTCAGTGTTTATGGGATAGATTTTCCAGTTTGTGGAGCTCCAGGGGAGCGATGGCGGCCGTTGTTAAGCGTCTTTCCTGCCTTGAGATCTTATAACTATCCAGACCACAGCAAATCAATTTCATATTTTTCTCACCATCCGGGGAGCCTTCGTGGTCTAAAGACGTTTGCATTTGTTGTTTTTCCTCTACTTTGTTCAAGTTTATCTTTTAATTTGCCACAAGCTTGGAAGAAATAATATTTTAAATCCTTGGTCAAAGCTGTGGAGTAGAAAGAATTACAAAAATAAATCAATT